GTCGCCATCGTCTCCATACATGCCTCAGGCGCAGGCTGCCATGTCGTCGCGCTCGACATCGACGGCGCCGCGTGGCTGTTCGGGCGGAACGCGCCCGCTGCACTCGGGAAGCCCATGCGCGGTGAGGCCCCGCAGGAGCCCGGTGTCGTGTCGGAAAACGCACCAAAGAGGCTGACGCCGCGGATGCTCGGTGCATCGAAGGGTGTGGTGTTCGTGCACGCGGCGGTTGGGAGAAGCCATACGCTGCTGGTGGGAAGCAACGGTGATGTTTGGACGGCGGGGGCGAATGCGTTAGGGCAGGTGAGTGTTGCGATGTCTTGAAAAGACCGGGGATGCCTTATAATACCTTTTTCTTCTTCTTCATTTTGACAGTGCGGCCATCAGCCGTGTCCGGAGGTGTCGTCCTTCACGGTTATGCGCGGACCGTCGTCGGGCGGCGTCAAAGAGAAGATCGTTAAGGTTGGTGCTGGGATCACCTTCTCCATACTCCTGGCAGAATCTGGGAAGCGTAGGTCCATTTCCTTACATACCCTAAAACGTCGGTTTAACTCCTACCCTCAAATAGTTTACGCTGTAGGAAGCGGGGAACATGGGCAGCTAGGGAACGGGCGCACAGGAGAGCACATCGCAACAGGGAACAAAACGATGTTCGACGTTTATTCCGATCCGGGTACCTTTAATTTTACTTTGATCGTGTCTGAAATTATGGTTCTGAGTTTGCGTTTATTTCATCTTACAGTTCTGGTTAAGGGTTTGGAAGGCAAGGTCATCACTCAGATCTCTTGTGGTCACCAACATACTATTGCGATGGACAAGGACGGGTAATCCCCATTCGCTGCTCACCAATTCAAAAAAAACTGTCTTTCTGACATCGTCCTTGTTAGTTTCGTCTATGTATGGGGCTACAATGGCTACTGTCGTCTCGGTCTCGGAAACCAGCAAGATGTGCTCATTCCGAAGGTCGTTCCTCAGGTGAGTCGCGGCATCTCTTTCAGAAGGTGACAGGGTGAATTTCTTCTTTCACTAGTTTGCCGGGAAAAACGAAATCACTACGAGCGATTCATGTCTCTGCTGGGCCTTCCAATTCCATTGTCCTTGACAGGCAAAAGATGTATTACATGGCAGGGAAGGTAAGCTTATGTATCAAAACCAAAGATAATTTAGCATGTCTGATCATTCCTAGTGGAAAAACAGTGGCGAGGGTATGATTGTCTCGTCGCTCTATAGGCCTATTTCTGACACAGGTCTGCGCTTTTCAGGTTCCTCTGGCTCGCCTTTCTCGACTTTCCGCTTCATACAAGATATCATGTACGTTCGTCTCTTACAGGCCTCGACAATCTGATTTAGAGGCTTATGTGCGATCTAGGGGTTGCAAAATATACCAAACCTGCAGCGGTGGGGTGACGCATTTCGCTTTGGCCCCGGATGAGAGCGACGGGAGTGTCATGACCATCGGGTTTGGACAGAATGCAGCAAACGGTGAATTCGAATCTCTTCGTTCCGGAAGCTGTGCCATTGACCAACGTTCCGTAGGTGAACTCGGTTTCGGACCGTCGGAGCCCAAGAGTGCAACGAAGCCAACACGGCACCAGCCACTCCTCGGCGTCGACGTAATTGAGTGCGCTTTCTTCAGTTCTCCTAATGTTCTTTCGTACCTCTCCGTACTAAACAAGTGTTCCTTTTCTCTAACAGCATCGCCGCGTCGCAGAACACAACCTTCTTCCTCGCGCGCCCGAACGAGAAGCTGTCAGACCTGCCGCGCCACCCTGCGCTCGTGGACTCGCCGGACGAATGCGTCGTGTGCGGCAAGGACAAGGGGGACGCCGACTCGCCGCTCGAGTGTGACAAGGTGCGGCCTCGCTTCGTTTTCTTCGCTACCTATTCGCTCTCCCACTTGCTCATGAATACCCCTTTTTCGTGCAGTGCGACTTCCCGTACCACCTCGGGTGCCTCGACCCGCCGCTTGCCGCCGTGCCCGATGGCGAGTGGTTCTGCCCCAGGTGCAGCGCGAAGCCAGGGCGGCCTGTCGGCAGCGACGTGGATGACACGGATGGCTTCGACGAGGAGTCAGCAGCGCCGCCGCCCGCGAAGAAGCGTGGGAGGCCGCCCAAGAACAAGCAGATGACGCCGGAGGACGAAGATGGCGACACCGAGCCGAAAGGGCGCGGCGGCCAGAAGAGGAAGGCACCTGAACCTGCGAAAGCGAAAGGTGAGTAGCTCTTGTTGTGACGAAACAAGAATCACGATCTCTCATACGGATCGCATTGCAGCGACGAAGCGCAAGAAGTGAAGAGAATACAATGGACGTTGGACGAAGGCGCCTTGTTCTCATGTGGGACCACTTTTCTACTTCTACTTCCGTCTTGTTTGTTTGAGAATTCGTTTGTTCTTGGTATATATAAGCCCTGTGGTAGTATGTGTGTTTTACGAGAGTACGAGAGGAAGAATGTATATCGAGATACCCGATGCCCTGGACGCTGGGACGAGAAGAAAATAAGGTGATAATATAGTACGAAAACCAAGCAAAAACGAAAGATGTATATCGTTATCCACAGCGAAAAGGGCGTCCAGGTACAACACTATAGCTATCCATATCGCGCGAAGTCATTAGTGTCATCATTATCCCCAACACCAACGCGTCGTTCCACATCGCAGCTCATGCAAAGAAGCGGATCATCACCCAGACCGCGAACAGTGCGAGCGCCAGGATGAGGAGGAAGATGCCGCCGACGTAGAGCAGGAGATCCTTCGTCGAGAAGTCCTGGACGGGACCAACGGGCCCCTCCTTCGCGCCCGGCCTGCGCGCCGCCTCGATTCGCCGCCGCCGCAGGACCTGCGTGGCAACCTTCTCCTCGTGTTGCGCGATGCGCGTGCGCGCGTCGGTCGGGTCGAGGGAGGAGGCGCCGCCCGTGCCGAGAGTGACGAAGGAGGGGTAGTGGTGTTCGCACCACTGTTCGATCTGCGCAGACACGACAGAAGAAGAGCAAGGGTAAGAGGCGGAGAGAGAAAGGCGAGTAGAGTGGAAGGACGTACTTTGCCGCACGCGACGGATATGCGGAGGAAGTTGGGATCGGTGGGCACGGACTTGGCGTGGATGACGCGCGCGTATTCACGGAAGATCAACGCGACCTCGCGCGGGTTTGTTGAACGCATGATAAGCTACAGAAGTATAACCTTGAGCTGACTGCTCGTGAAGAGGGAAGATGGCTGACTCACTCTCGCCGCCTCTGCTTTTCGGATTTTGACGTTGCGCTGGAAGACCGCGGGGTTCATGAAGCACAGGGAGAGGGTCGCGAGCGCCATGCTTTGCGGGATGGCGCAGAAGTTGAACACAGTCTGGTTCTTGAGGAGGGTGAGGTAGTCGAGAGATTCGACGGCGTGGCGGAGCGCATCGAGGGTCATGCCGCTGAGCGCCCATAGCGCCCGCTGCGAGTTTGCAGGCTTGCACATGTCCTTCGGGTCGTCGAAGCCGTACGCGCCCCAGATCTCGCGCGGCCAGAAGAGGCGCCCGTCGTCGACGTCCTCGCGGAAGTCGCGGAGGATATTCGTTTTCTGGAGCAGGAGGCCCATGTGGTTGGAGAGCACGAGCTGCTCGCCGAGCCACGGCTGCTCCTTGCCGGACGCCGCGAAGACGCGCGAGAGGCCCTCGCCGACGAGCCCCGCAACGTAGTGGCAGTACAAGGTCGACGTCCGCGACGGTGTCGAGCCCGAGGACGCCCGTCTTGTGCGCCTTGTGTGCGTAGTCGGCCATGCCGACGGCCATCTCGCGGCAGATGTCGACGATGACGGCAAGGTAGGCGGGCGGGAGCAGGTTGAGCTCGGTGACGACGCAGTCGAACTCGACGAGCAGCTGGCGGTCCTTTTCGCGCGGTCCGCATCCGTTGAAGTTCCAGCCCGGCGTGACGACCTTTTCGTGGAAGGAGCGCAGCAAGGGCTGCTTGACCTCGTTGGGGATCGTCATGTCGTCCTCGACAGTGTCTAGCCCCCGCAGGACCAAATAGAATAAACATATCTGCGTTTCGCGTCAGAAAAAGTGAAGAAAATCGGACTTGAAGAGAAATGTGAGGCTCACCACACGCGCCAGGTCACCGTCGAGCTCTTTGATGACAGCTGAGAAACTCCTGCTGGTCATGTCCAAAAAATGCCAACAACGCTTCATCGTCGGCCTGTCCCAGCCGGACGTCTCATGCTCCCTCGTGGACGTGATGTCGCGACGCTGCTCATGGTATATCCAAAATTGCATAAGAGTGCGGAACTCATTGGGGTGCGTAAACAGCAGCGTGATGAGATCGGTGGCACCCATGATGGCGGCGATGAGCAGGACGTGGAGGGCAGCAGCAGTGGCGAGGGGATAAGGATGAGGTTTCGGGAGGAATTGACGTCGAGGTCGTACCACATCGCAGCTGCTCAAAAATATGTTTTCCTTGATCGGGTAGCGCACGTGCCCAGTAGCCAATCAAATTCAGAACTAGCCGTCCAATAAAGTGAACGTGTTACGTACTCTCCCACGCGTCGATCGACACGATCGACGCGCGCCGCAACGTCGCGTCTTTCTGTCACCCCGGAATCCACCACAAGCATAACAGCCATCAGAAAGCAACGCAAAACATTGAAACCTCGAGAAACCACATTATCCCATGTAGGGTCAATGAGATCTCACAAGGCGCTGAAGAGCCTCATTGGTTTGCTCTATCGCTGTAGTAGCGTATTTTACATCATTTCCTCATTCAATGGAAACGGTCAGAAAAGCAATTATCAAGTGTGCGTGAGCTCAGAGGGTACGAATGTTGCTGTCTCCTCCTCAACTATGTGCCATTTTGTCTCTTTGAGAGCCGCATGCAAGTCGTATTCGAGAAATACAGGTCCAGAAGACGTACTGAGCTCAAGATAAAACCCAAATACAACTCACTGGTTTCGCTGCTCAAAATGACAGGAAAGATTGTATCCGAGAAACATTTGTACCCTTACAGGAGGGGGGAAAAAGCTGCAAAATCATTTAATGGCCCGTACGGGGGTCGAACCCGCGACCTTGGCGTAATTTTATACAGAACACCAAATATTAGCACCACGCTCTAACCAACTGAGCTAACCGGCCAACTAAACTTAAAGTAAAGTGATCTAATAACATCTTGACAATTGAGCAGACGTTCATTCGTACGTTTCTGCTCAAGATTGTATGAGCAAGCAAGCTGTCACATCGCATGCTTAAGAATTGTCCCAGAAATATTGCTAATAAAGTACATGAAGCGGGTCCGAACCATTCCCAGTTTTGTAAAACGAAACCCCCAAACAGCGGTCAAAAACAAAGAGGGAAAGTGTCCATGTAGAGTACTTATTGTCCATGATGGCTGGGTAGGAAGACCAAATCCTTAGCACTCGGTAATCATAATCAAGACATAACAGCACCCCGCTCACTAGTATTGTTCGAGTGGAATTACAGCCCACAGAAGGACGCGTTGACTTGCTCGGCATTGACCTGCACCGCACCCAAATCCACCGCTTGCCCGTCGGTGAGCGCGTCGAGCGCCTCCTGCGAGAGGTTGAAGCCGTCGTCCGCGTGGTCGATCGCGGTCACGACGACCGACGCGCCGTCGTACGTCAGGTTCCAGCAGCTGCCGCAGCTCGCCGAGTTCCACCCCGCGACGGCCGCCGCGCCGCCGATATTCGGGAACGTCGGCACGGAGCCGTACGTCGCGAAGCGCCTTGCGAGCCCGTTCGTGCCGTCGGAGCACGACGTGGAGAGCATGTCTCCGCTGGCGTTGTCGTACTTGGTGTCGTATCCGGCGCGCTCCGTCGCGAGTGCGGAGCCGGCGAGGAAGAGGAGGGAAGAGAATGTGAGCTTCATGGTCGGGCAGGAGCACGAGATATTTCGATGAAGTGATTCGGAAGGACCTGAGGGGGAGAACGTCGACGGAACTGACAGACCTCTATTCTCATTTTTCTCTCTTATATGTGCGAGGGTCCAGGGACGCACATGGTGCTTACTTTTTCCTTGATTTTGACCCGACTTGGAATTCCGACCGCGCTTCTCCAAAAGAAGGGTCATCGCGCACGTACTCTCTCGGGCAGCCTTGGTTCGCCGAAGTCCTGCTGAAAATGCACTGCACTCGGACAGTCCATGCACAGCCTGCTGTCGAAAGGGCAGTAGCGGTGTGCCAAGCATAAATGAAGGCTTGCTGCCAGTAGCATAATCGCCGCCCTAAGCGTCGCAGACACTATGGCGATTCTAAGCCGTGCTTCAAAAACAGTCCTAGAACATGTCAGAGCACACCTCTACGGTGCATGTGCAATAAAATCAACACCGCCAGAACCAACGGTTTGTAAAATAACACGACATGAACTCCAATATTCTGATGTGCAATGGGTTTTTTTGATGTGCGACGTCATGTTTTGGGCCAAATGCAGCTTCTCCGAGACCTGGGAATTATCAATTTAAACGAAGGCAATACCGGACTCGGGCTGAGTGAATTTGGCGTGAAAAGTCTACTGACCAGTGGCTACACGTGGAAAATATCACTGGCCTCGTGCTCGACAATTTGTCGTGGTCAAGGGGGAATAGGCGTTTACTAAATTTCAAGAACGAATGTATGGTTAGTAATGAATCCCAGCATGCGCAAAAGAGGGGGAAAGTATACCGTGATAGAAAGCCCGGGCTTGTACGAGTATACACTGTCAGAATGGGGTTATATGTGGACGTTTGTCAAGTATGAAAAACATCGTTACAAGAAAGGACACGATGGTATATGCGACATTGTCGCGCCGTGAACGGATTTCAGATACCAGGTGCACGTCAAAATTAGTCGAATAGTCAAATGTATAAAGTAAAGCAAAAATACATCTTCGGAGGCGCTTAGACAGAGGAAGGACTGTATAAAGACTGGGTTTCAACTCGCCGTTCAAGAAAGTGCGATCCCACTCAGATCTTCCCGTGCCCACCCATCTCGTAAAATCTCTCCATTCGCTGCACGATGACGTCCAGCGCGGAGAGCCAACGCGCTAACTCTTCGTCAAGCTTCTCCTGCGAGCCACCCTCCGCGATGCGCGTGAAGAAGTCGTGCCGACGAGGGCATGCCCTCAGCGCGACCTGCACGACAGTGCGAATGGCGAAGTTATGATGGTGCCGCAGAACGGTGTCGTATGCGCGTGAGAAGCTTGGCTGCAGTTTGTCCTCTTGCGGGTTTGCGCGCGCATTTTGAAGTGCGCGACACGTGAAGAGAAGACCCCTGTGAAGTCCTTCATGAGTGGATTCATTGTTGTAAAAATAATGTATGTTTTTACCGGAGGAGTCTCCGCAGTGATGCGGTTCCGTGCTTGTTATGGTCGTCTACTTCGCTGTGGACGAGTTTCTCTAGCGTATGACAAGTGTCTGGCCTGGAGGTGTATGTTGTCCGTACGCCCTGAGAAGATATAAAACAAGTAGAAATGAAAGTGTCCAAAACTGATGAAATTGATTCTCACATGTATATTACTCTTGATGTCGGCTTGAACAAAGGAGAACACCCCAACTCCTAGTAAATCTGAGAACAAGCCCAATTAATCATCTCACACTGCCGGCTAGAGAATTGAAGCGCTTACCGAACATTCCCATAAGTCCGTCCGATGCTTCAAGGAACTCTATTGTCGCAACGCCATCGTCTGTCAGGGGCACATCTGCAAAGGACTGGGAAAAGAGAAGATAAGCGAGGATGAATTTGGTATCTTGTTGCTCTAGAAAGTGGAACACACTTTAACTGTCTCAAAATATGGTGCCATTCGAGATCTAAAGCGTGGAGTAGTCCAATATTCAAGAAACTCGAGGCTATACTTCTCGGAAGTGCAAATTTGCAAGTCGTTCGTCACTGTTTTAGAGGTAGAAGAGCTTTCGAAGGTTTTGTAGCTGGCAGCCAGTGACCAGCCGAGAGTATGTGGACGTCCGGTTGCCTGTGTTGTCGATTTCAGTTCTGAATTCACGTCCGGGCGCAGGAAGACCTGCAGGACTCCAGCCTTTGTCCTCGTTGAGTCCGAAGGTCGACGCGTCGTTGCAACGTTTGCCGCGCGTGAGGGCCGAGACTGTATACTTACGTAAGCAACATGCCCGCTTCCTTTACTTGACCCATAAAAGAGCATTTAGAAAACATATCACGCTTTCTACAGATTTACCTTACTTTTTAAAACTTAAATTGAAGTCATCCGAGATGTTAATCCTTCCAGATGCACGTCACAGCTTGTACACGAGTCATGACATCGTCTCCGAGTGTGCGCAATAATATATGTTGACGGTTTCCTCGACCCGCGAGGTACTATATTATAATTACAAAAACCATGCGCGTAGGACATCGCCGAACTCGGCTAAGCATACATTGAAAATGACGGAAATTTTATGTATATACAAAACAAGATAAAGCAGCTTCTTCAAGTCCGTTTTTCTTCCACTTAAATCCAATAGTAGAAAGACGTATGTCACCGCCGGATCTGATTATTCTTTTTTTGATAGTGCATGGGAACAACCTCCCGCCGGGTGGTCAACACAATACCGTCAAACTCCCTACGAGCACGCACGGAGGCGTTGTGCTAATCGGTGACGCTGTACGTCCCTGTTGTCTGCTGATTATCTGTAGCACGATCTTGAATTCTTCATCCAGGCTCACGCAATGACCCCGAATCAAGGCGCTGGCGCGGGACAGGTAGTCGAGGACGCATACGTCCTCGGGGCGCTTCTCGCGCATCCGCGCACAACGCGCGCTACACTTCACATGGCACTCGAGGTGTCCGTCTGCCATTTGCGCTCGCTGTGCAGCATCGCGCGCGCGTACAGGGATTGCTGTTTGGTTTTGACGATCCTCGTTTCCCGGATTCAGATATAAACTTGAGATCGGGTTTGTTTGGAGGGCGGATTGATGAGGGAGACGCGGAGACGCGGATGCGGAGTTGGTTGCGCGAGATGGCAGACGTGGTGATCGAAGACTGGCAGTGGGCATGGGAAACTCGGGCGGAAGACGATTGCGTACAGGCACTTCAAAAGTTCGAAAAGAAGCTCGAAAGCGAAGGGTATACGCAAAGTTGCGGAGCAACCAAGAATTGAAGACTAGATTACATGATTTGCACATAACATCACAGCAATCATTGGGCGGTTTTAGCAGTCGAGAATGGGAATTAGCAAGACCAATGCTTACTTTTTATCCGCGGTGAAAATAAGGAATGTAAAAGATGAGAGTACTTGATATGATACGTAGATCTTTCCCCGTAAAACAATTGGATCGTGTAGGTTACAGCGCAAATCAGAGAGCACCTTCGAAGACAATGATACTTCCACTGACATAACCGTCGTCAAATAGCAGTCGGCAGAGAATCAAGTAGCCGTCCAATCTCCTTGATCAACGCCTCTCGATCAAATACATAGCACCCAGTGTGGCCGCAGTCGCATTTCTCCTCCGAAGGATTTTTTCGTCAAGGACTGGTATGAAATTTGGAAGATGGCCGAACAATCAGACTCGTTCCAGATGACGTCACGCAGCTTGTCACCCCGTGCGCAACGTTCGAGCTCGCTGCTGATGCGGTACATGAAGATCGTCCAGCGCACGTCGCTCTGAAGAACGCGCGAGGTTAATATCGCGTTGTATACACAACTGTGGTTGCCCGTAACATCTCGCCAGCGAACGCTGGGCTTCTCAGTTTTCTTGCGGATAGGAAGCTCGAAAGGACCGAGGCGATCCTTGGAGTCGAATGCGGCAATAAACAGCTCCCGACGCATACGATGCAGCTTCTGCAAGCGGAGTACGTTGACTGTATCGATCTGTGCAAGTGCTCGAAGCGCCAGTCGGGGATGCAAGATCTACAGCGAGTGTACCCGTCGAGGCTAGTTTTGCTTCCGCCTCCCACCCAAGCCGGCACGCGAGCCCGTACTTGTCAACCGGCGACAATTCGACAGCGCCTTTCTTCATAGGAAGCGTCGTGTCGTGAAAGACAACATCGCGAATGGTTGTAGTCGCACCGGGCATGTCATACTTCTCCGCGGCACGCGCGAGCGCTTCGGGTGCGCTGGCTAGCACGGGCCAGATGTTCGGCTTCGCCTGTCCTGCATTGGGGTATACGATGTCGAAAAGCGCGGCGACAATA